CAACATCTAGTCTAAGTCTCAGCTCACTTATGATCTGTGCAGTGGTACCTTGGGAGTGTGACCCATCATCCTCTCCCAGGCAGTTCAGGATGAAACACCATCTTTCTCCATTGACTTTAGATGGAGCCCAGGTGAGGAGCTGCAGCTATAGGCTGAACATGGTGTTGATGTTAAGGGCGATGAATGCCTCCGGTACACACCATGAACAAAGCTGAGCTCTTTTCAACTATTATTTCTATCATGGACTTCATTGCCATAAGTTTCCTGATTAAAAAGCACCAAGGATCCTTTTTGCAGTAGCTGATACGAGCTGTAAACTTGTTCTCTTACCTGAAAAGACTGCAGGAAGGAATTGAAATAGATGAAGACGATCTGGGAAATGTCATCTTCCCCAGGGTTGACAAAGAAAAGCATATAGGTGATGCCTAGCAGAGGCAGAAGAACTAACGTTGCCTTGACTGCCTTCCTGTGGGGAGGAAACAGAAAACACAAGTAAACACAAGAAAGAACAACTGTGTTATCTAAACCGTGGTAGAATGGCCCAATCCAAACAAATCACTCCTGTAGTGGAGAGGGGGGACAAGTCTCAGAGCAATTCAGAGGGAAGTGAAGTACCTACATTATCTGGAGAGAGAGGGTAGGTGCCACTTTAAGACAGTTCAGCACCCGCACATGTCAAACAGGGTGTAGCTGAGAAGAAAACAAAAGGACGGCCTAAGGGGTGTCTGCTCAGAGCTGTCCCATATGTGCAGTCACTGGAGGAAAGAAGCATTTTAAGAGAGAAATTCACAGGTCAGCTTCTGTCCAGTGTCTAATGCAGGTGACTGGAGATAGGGAACACAGGAGGTCCCTGTGGGTACCTCCGTCTCTCGAGGTACGCTGCTAGGGCATTTGCAGTGGAAACCTGCATTTGCACAATAGTCAAGTAATTCGAGCTTTTTCCAGGAGGACATTTGAGTTTTAGACACTTCTCAGCCTGCCTGCATAGGTATTTGCACAATAGTCAAGTAATTTGAGCTTTTTCCAGGAGGACATTTGAGCTTTAGACACTTCTCAGCCTGCCTGCATAGGAATAGTCCCAAGGTTCATAATCAGTTTATTGAGTAACTCAAGATGGAGGCTCCTAGGGTCCTCAGGCAATGAAGAACACAAGTTTCTTCCAGCTCGTCAAAGATATTT